ATCTATGATATTCATACAGGTTTCAAAAATGATATATTGCGATTTCTGTCCTATCCTGGAAGTCCAATAAGCACGTGTCGCTGTATTTGTGCATTGGCATGAACATCGTTTAATTAACCACGTCACTCATCCATATACTAGGTTGTTTTTGTGGCGTCCATATTATATGGAAGAGTAGTACTCCAAAGAGAAGTTGGACTTCTGTTCCCCCCTCCCAATTTGTTAAAGAGCACCCCAGGGGATGATCCGGAGGTCTCCCACCTCCTCTCCTCTTCCACTAAACCACACGAGAGGACGTTCGGCTCGCTGCACATTTAAAGTGCCTCCATGCCTCACGGACACTATATATTTACAAACATTCATGTCTTCTCCGGGATTCGAACTCGGGCGGTTCAGTACCGCATCAGTCTCCCCAAATCACTATACCGTCAGTTACAGGTTGATTTGATTAACTGCCTTTCTTTCAGCTCAGCTCTACAGCGTCTCTCAAACTTAACCGTTTTCAGGACTTCTGTGCCCTTTATAATTGACCCTTTATCATTGTAGTTCTTCATACGCTATGATGGGCCATAATTCGCTCCCTGGTCTTGACGTTTATGCCATTTTCACGTTATATTCATTTGCATTCAGGGAACTGATGGCAATCAAACGACCTTCTCGTATGAATGTTTCTTTTTGTTTTTGTTTTCTTGTTAAAGAATGTTTACTAACTGGCTGCACTTTTTTTGACTTTAACGTATTAACGTGCTGTTTCTTAAGGTATGTACCTACCCTAAAATCATCGTTTTGGTGAAACTTTTCAAATATTTTTATTTATTCATTTTATAGGCCACATATTTAGGTTTCTAAAAATGCTTTAGTTTTGTTTTCACGATAATTAGAAACAAAGTTATAGTATAAATAATAAACCGGAAGTGAAGTTTCGGATACCGGAAGTTGGCATTTAAAGAGTCATAAAAATGTAAACAATGAGTTAAACAGCAATTTATAATTATTAAACAATATAAAAGCTGTAAAAGCAACGTATCTTTCACTGTGTGGTATAGGAATTTGCTGGTAAATGCCTACATGGGACGACTCAGAACAATAATCATTGTTTTAATAACCTTTTGTGGACTATTTTACCTAAAGAAACTTTTGTCCAACAGAAAACATTGCTTTTAGGCGCATATATTGCTGTATTATTATTTAATTGAGGATATTTAGGACAAATTAATCCCATTATGTTTGAAAGCTACATGGGAATAGACAAACAGCGAAATTAGAAATCGAAACTCCAATCTCTACAAGCAACAAAATTATTTAGAAAAAAGCTAAAAGAAAGTCAAAATTAGTTTAAAATGAAGCAGAAGAGGGCCTAACATACAAATATGGTGAGTTTTAAAGGTCTAAAGTGGCTACAAAATTGTTTGTGCTGTATTAAAATCTTTAAATGCATTTTCTGAGAAACTGTTTTTGTGTTACTTTTGATTGCGATTACATTCATTTCTCAAACTATATTTAGAATATTGAAATGAAATTTTGCCAAAATGTTTTATTGATCTTTAACTGTGTTCTGTAGCAAAATCTGACCTCTTTGTATTTATTTATTGATTTTATTGACAGTATTTTCAAGAAAAGTGTTTTTTTTTTGGAGGGGGGGGGTTAATTTTGAGTTTTTGTACGAAGTTTGGAATATTTCAACAAATTTTATAAGTACAGCAAATCTTTTGCTACAGAGCATAGATAAGTATTATAATCATATATTGTGTAAAGATTACTGAAGTATATTCATTAGAATTTATTATAGGAGATGTGGCATAAATGAAAATTTGCACTAAAATGTTTCTAAAAATTGCCTATATTTAAAAAAATAATGAAAATTCCTGAAAAATCCCATTTAAATTCAGAGTTTTATACCCCCATCTTACTCAAAAACATGTATGTTTAATTCAAATTTTATGTGTTTTAAAAAAAGTGCTTCCTATGTAGGTACATATCTTAAAACGTGCTATTAGAAAAGAGCAAATTTTGTTTGACTTGTAATTTTCAAATTCTATGAAAGTTTCGAAATTCATTGGTTAATCCTTGGCTAACAATTTATTTCCTGAAAAATATTGTTGCGTGAGTACGGGCTCGTTATGAATTAATTGAATGCACAAGTTATGAAGAATGAATAATATTTATTAATATCACAAATAAAACAAAAAAAAATGCTTAAATTATCTCAGATAGTCGTATAATATCTCACAGTAATTATCTTTTAAACTACTAAAAACGTTCAACAGAACTTAATTCAAAACAGAAACGTTAAGAAAGCTAATCCGCTACAGTAAACAACCGCAGTTTTCTAAACAAAACAACTAACGAACTGCGAAATCGAGTGAATGGTTAGGCGGCATTTAGTAGCTTCTGCTACTTTAACCGTCTCTGTTCGATATATGCCCTAAGGCGTTGGGAAGAATTAAAAAATTAAGGTGATTTACACCGCACCGACAAAGGTGAAGCAGGAACATGTGCTAATGCATACGTAAGTTGGTCAAGTAGACTGTGGAGAAGCAGGGTTCAAGCATATGGCCGCCGTACAACCTGTGATGTATCTTCACTAGTTGAAGAAAGATGATACGTCGAGGCCAGTCACATGGGTGGTCACCCACCCAAGTAATGACCCCGAGCTCTGCTGCTGTAAACAGGGAAACCTGTGTGTTAAAAAAGTGAAAGAAATTATAAACATAATGAAATTCCCTCAAATGCTTCTAAGCTGGTGATTACTCTTCACTTTCAGCAAATCTCATCAGTGTCATGGCTGCTTTGAACCCGGCAGTAAACTTCTCAGCCGTGGTTTTTGCAGCGCGGATCTTCTCAATGTGCTCAACCATACTGTTCAGAAATTTTTTGATTTTAGGATCCTGGATCCAGTTTATGATATCATTGTACTCTGTGGGTGGGTTTTCCAATTTTTTCTTTACTCTATCACTGTAGAGAGGTTTTCATCAGGGTTTTACTGCTGTCTTTCTCTGTTTCGATAAATTTCGGAAAATCTGCCGGCGTAGGGATCTTAGCTGCTGGCTTCGCCTGCTGCTTCTTTGCTTCATATCGCTTCTTGTACACGGGGCAACCCCTGTATGAACTTACATGCAGTAGTGAGCAGAAGATGCACTTAGGTTTTTCTTCTGGCTTTAGAGGGCATTCTTTACTTCTATGGTGCTGTCCACACTTGCAGCATCGCTCAGGATTTGAGCAAAGATGTTGCGAATGTCCATATTCTTGACATCTATAGCATTGAATTACGCGTATTTTCGGGGCAAACTTCTCGATCTTGACATTAACACTTAACATATTGTTGAGTCCATGAATTGCACGTCCTTCCTTCGTTTTCTTCAGCTCCAACATGAAAATCGGAAGTTTCTCGATAGCGTCTCCTCTTCGTCTGGAAAGCTGCTTGATTTTACTTATCGGGAATTTCCTTCTCTCCAGATCTGCCTGGATTGTTTCTTCCTTCATCGTCGATGGGAGGCCCTTAAGAACAACCTTAATATGTTTTTCGCTGAGTAACTGGAAAGTATGAAATGGTATATTTCTTTTCTGCAAAATCAGAGTTGCTTTTCTGTAATCGTCTACTGACTTTAAATTAACATATAGTAGTTTCATTTTCATATCGGCTTCGAATTCTTCACTGCAGTTATTGATAAGGATTTCATGAATTTTAGGCCAATCAACTTCGCTTTGCTGGAAAACTATTGGGGGTGGAGTTTCCTCTTTTTCGGCTCCTCCTTCTTTTTCCATACCTTCTACTTCACTTAGCTGCTCAAAATCGATTTTCTTTCGTAACTTCCATTGGAGCTTCGTTTTCTGTTACTTTCGCGGTTTTCTTAGGAGAAATCCCTTTCTTGTTTTTCCCTGCTGTCTGTTCCTGCTTTCAAGTTATCTTTTCCCTGGATAAAATTTTCTCGTGAATGACTCTACATCCATATCACCCTTAGCTCTTTTATGAAAGTAATTGCAAATTACGTCAAATCCAAATTTCGCGAGTCTGGTCCCGGATTTCTTCTTTCAGAACATGACTTGAATTTTGGTGATGTCCTCATCAGCTTTCTCCATTGATGAAATCTTCTGGTGTCTGTTCATCAGTAACTTCTCCATTGGGTGTTTGAATGTCTCTTTTTTCCTTGCAAGGTTTAAGCATCTTTCTTTCTTACTTGGTTGTCCGCTTTCCGTGTCTGACATAGTTTTCGCCTTTTTTCGCTTTACTTTCTCTTGTCTTTGGCCATAAGGATGAAATCCTCTTTCTTCAATGGATAGGTCTTGTTGGATCTTGTTACATTTAAACGAACTCTCGCTTCGGTAAGTCCTCTTCATCAGAACTATCGAATGGTGTCCTATAAAAGGACATTTTCGTTTACCCGAAGGTAACTAATCAAGTCGAAGGTATAATCACCGACCGCCTACGGAACTTGGTCAGTATTCGAAAATCTTAAGCGTAACCACAGCACAACCTACTAGTTCGGAGTCACAGCTCAGAATGAATGAACGAATTGCGAGGTTTTCATGCCGCTTATATAAGCTTTTTAAATGCACGAGAATTTTCTGGAATTTTCCCGAAATCAAAAAGAGATATGTATTTATTAAATGTTCGCGCTCTTCTATTTTTAATTTTCCGTCTTAGATTTCTCTCAATATTCGTCACGCGCTGCACTGCACGGAGAATAAAACAATTTAATTTATAATTATTCTAACTTTAGCTATTTAAATACCACATCCGTAACATTATATTTCATCTGTTTGATATCTCAAGTATTCTATATTTTCCGTCTTTTCTCTCAATATTCGTCACTCATTTTTCATATCTCAATTTTCCTTCTTAGATTTCTCTCAATATTCGTCACGCGCTGCACTGCACGGAGAATAAAACAATTTAATTTATAATTATTCTAACTTTAGCTATTTAAATACTACATCCGTAACATTATATTTCATCTGTTTGATATCTCAAGTATTCTATATTTACTTTTATTTTTCAGGGTTAAAGATTCAGGTAAGTTAAATCATCCACAGTACGCATACTTACCCTTTGGTGCTGGTCCTCGAAATTGCTTGGGCATGCGTTTCGCACTGCTGGAAATAAAACTGGGTATGGCCAACATACTACGTCACTACAGATTCAAAAAGTCTCAAAAAACAAAGGTAATTCAGATAAATTGCTTTAATTAGAATTCATATTTCCTAACTTTATATGAATCAATGCATTTTTTTCGTTTAGAACTGCGTAGTGTATGTCCCTATTAATCAAACTGTGATATCATGTGTTGTCAACTGCTGGCAGGTATTACTCTTTATTCAAATAATCAGTCATGACTATAAAAACGGAATATGTTTAAGATGGAAAAAATTAGTTTGCTTTAAAATCACTTTTTAGCCAAATCTGTATAACTGCTTACGTTGATTCTGTAACATTCCCTTCGTTGGGATCATCTTATATCATAAAAGAAATAGGAAAACAAAATCCTTTAACTAATAAGGTAATATGTACTGAGTGATAGCAAATTTCAGGATAAGAGTGGTCATTATATTCAGAAATTTAAGCATGAGTAATCTATGAAAGATCAAACGGGTATTCAAAATTACGAAGATTTTATACTTCGTAGGTACGTGGTGTATTTAATTATGGCAAAGCACACTAGGGCTATCTGCCTAAGGGAAGGGATGCCTTCGTGAAGGACTTTCTAAGGGAAACTGGCTTGTATACACGTTACACATGGGAAAAACCACGAAAACACCCATGCAGCCAGCCCATTCGCGTACTTCGTAGGTACAAATAAAATTTAAAATGTTCACATGAATATCAGCATTAATGGGAATTTAATTCCAGTCTTCGGACGTAACCTAAAATTCAACAATTAGAACAGAATCACAAAATAAGAATCAACATTAAACTAAGATTACAGTTCATGAATTTTAACAAGGCCATGAGCGCAGTTTCGCCTCGAGAATTCATAGATGTTGATGTTGATGTTGATGTATTTAATTATGGCAAAGCACACGAGGGCTATCTGCCTAAAGGGAGGGATGCCTTTCGTGGAGGACTTTCTAAGGGAAACTGGCTCGTATACACGTTACACATGGGGAAAACCACGAAAACGCCCATGCAGCCAGCCCGTTCGCGGGATTCGAACCTCAGACCGAACTACCAGTGTTCAGCGTCTTTACCGCTCGGCCGCTGGTGGGCAGAATTCATAGATGACAGTGCGAATTTGGCCAATTTCTCCCTAGTTTTCCGCCCATGTGCGTTTCTAAGTGGGTCCCTCTCAGAAATTTTTGTTTCGAAAATAATTAAAAATTGAAAAAATTGGAAATTTATACCACTTCTGTTGCATTTAAATAAAATATTTGGTAAATCGTGAAGCTTAACTTTCATTGAGGAAAAGGAAAAATTCTTTGAATCGGAATTTGACTGCATTTATTTTATCAAACACTATTCTAATAATTTGCATTGTAAAATAAAATTCTTAAAGTCTTACAAGACTGTTTAGTTTGATGCTATTTTATCCTGTAATAATAGTACTAGTTTCAAATACTCATGAGTGTATTTAAAATTGTTCAAACAGTATTATTTCGCAATAGTAAAAGAAATCACTAAAGCACTGTTCACCTACAAAGATTTAGGACTAAATTTGTTCACAGAACATTGAAGAAAATAACATTTCTTAGGCTTTTAGCTAGCCTTACACTTGGTACTGTCTATAGTTACTGCTTTCTGAATCTCCTCACACAGTGTTATTAAAATAATGGCGTTTGGAATGAGACTTCCCTTTGAAAAAGAGAAAGCACGCTGCAGATGCCAAATCTGCAGGTGATTAAGAGAAATGTTTGAGAACTGCGACATTTTACTTTTCTGAAAACTGTTTAACCAGAATGGAAATACATGACGGCAAATAGCAAACTAGTTATTTGAACTGAGCTTTTTCAGATGTAACGCCATGTTTTATAAAAATGAAAAGGGCAGATTCTTCAGAAGTCTGACTTAAATCTTTATAAAACATGCAGTTCATCAACTGTCCCTTATGAAGGAATTTATTCAGAGTTATTCTTTTCCAATCAAAAAAGCTTATCAGCACGGCATTTATTCAAGATTTATGAAACTGAAATTTTTGTGGTTATAATGAACAGTCTGCAATTGCAGCAAATGATTGTCAATTTGTCTCAGGATCATAAAAAAAAGCGTTAAATTTCAGTGAATTCACTTGAAAAAAGATTAATTAAAAACAGCAATTTTGAAAAAGGTTTAATTCCCACGTTATAGGAAAACTTTATTACTGTTCATTGCTACACATTTCAATTTATGATAGCTGATGTTTATTGGACCCAAATAAACAATGAAATGATGATCACAGAAAATGCTGTACGAGACGGATGCTATTTTAGGAAAAATTAGATGAGATTATCCTAACAACAAGTGTTTATCAGTTATTGTTTAGTAGAATGGCTGGAATCTGTTTAAAAAAAAAATATATATATATATATGTATGTATAAAACTTTGTAGACACACTGTGTACATAAGCATATTATCATCTGTACCTCTTTTTCAAATTTAGGATACCCTTTTTAATATTTTCTTACAATATTGCATAAAAAGGTAAATGAAGAGTTTTAATTATAATATTAAAATCTTTCTGATGAGCAATTGTTGTGGTTTCTTGCAATGATAAATTTTTCTTTGGTTAATAGGTACCTCTGCAGTATAAAAAGGGCACTGGTCTTCTGATTGTCCGAGAACTTCCTCTGATGGTTGAAGAAAGAGCAGCAATTAATAACCTTGCATCAAAAAAACAGTGCTTATAATATTGTGAATAATTCATATTTCTAAACATTTCATTAAAATGCTATGTCATATACTTTGTATGTATTAATACTCTGCATATTGTTAATAAAACTCTAGAGCCCACTGGGCATCAACAAATTCCCAACTGATAAAGAAAATTAAAGTTGAGACTAATAACAAATTTTCTCTAACATGAATACAAAATTCCTTAAACGTTCTCTAACTTGAATTCTTCAAAAAAAGAACAAGGGGAAATCGCTTTATAAAATTAAAAATAACTTTATTAAATAAAACAAAATTTGAAATCTTCAAAAAATGCACCTGAATTAATTATACTTATTTTTTAAATGACATTTCATCACTAAGAAGATATAAATAAAACCTAATAAGTGTACTTTTCCGTTTTGGCGGCGAAAATCTCGCCAAGCAGACTTTATTGCCGACAACACACAGTATGCACATAAAAAATGTTAGTAATTAGTTCTAAGAATTTTTTTATTTTGAAGGCATAATTATCTTAATATTGTTTAAAATTTTGTAAAAATTAATTTAAAAATTTACTATGCTTTCATGGTTCAACATCCTGATCCGCCAGTTCATATTACGTGACCCCAAGTGATCTCATCTCACGTAAACTAAGCTACAAAAATCTAATCCCTCTCATTAATTATTTACATTAATTTCAAGTTAAATCTTAATATGGAATACAAGTTTAAATGCAAGAATTATTTCAATTTGTACGAAAGCTTACTCAGAAATTATGTAAAACAGAAGTGCTTTACTTCACTAGTGCATTCTCATTAGAATTTATGAATTTAACCCTTGACTTTACCTTTTCAACATTTTCGCCTTCAGGTGGGCTGTGTGATTGCATCATAATTGACTTAATTACTGCGAATGGCCTTACGGCATAAAATTGAACTATCTAGTAAAAATTATATGTAACTGTATGCCAATTTTGAAAGAAACAATCAATCTTATAAGAAATGGCTGCGACTTGTATTTGAAAATGAGGTGGAAAAGGTTACCAGCGAAGATATTCCATTTGGCATCCTTTGTACCATTTTTGGCAACTTTATCGCCTGCGGCGGCAAAATACAAAAGTACTGTAATAAGTTAAATACAGTAAGACCCCGCTTAACGCGGGGGATACGTTCCATCAAAGTAGAGCGTAATGCGAAACAGCGCTAAACGAGCCTATCTTTACATGTAAATATTGGGGTTAGGGGAAGATGGCTAGGAAATTGGTTAGGTATTAAATTTAAAAAGTATGTTATTTTAATAAAAATAAAACCAAACATTTATTTCTTAAAGCCCAAATTAATACCACATTATTATTTCTTGCAAAAATAAAAACAAAATATAAATAACAAAACGAATATTCTTAAAAAAAAAAACAAATAAAATTCTCAGTTAGTTAGCCTTCCGCGTTTTCAGTGTTCTGCCTTTTTGCGACAAAAGCATCTAATGTTGTTTGCCTTTTTCTTTTGCATTGTTCTCTTAAAAGTTCTCCATAAACGGATAGAGCATCTCTAACACCACGCCTTACTTTTGAGCTCCTGTCAAAATTCGGATCATTTTCAATGAATTGATCCATTATTTCAGTTATGGTAGACAAACTCCTTTTTACAAACGCCATCGAAAGTTCTTTTTGCTCTTCTTCTGAATCACTGCTGTCAACATTTTTGTTTTCTTCTTGTTCAGTTAATTCCTTGAGCTCATCATTAGAAAGACTAGCCGCTGCTGTGTTTTCGTGGTTTTCCCCATGTGTAACATGTATACGAGCCAGTTTCCCTTAGAAAGTCCTCCACGAAAGGCATCCCTCCTCTTAGGCAGATAGCCCCAGTGTGCTTTGCCATAATTAAATACACCATCATTTGGAATTGAGCAAAGAGGTACAATGCAACTGATTTAAATCTGCAGGGACTTGAAGTATGTGTAATGATTACTGTTCAAGGACATAGTCTATATTTAATCAATTCTCTTATGCACAATATTTCTGCATGTTGTTGCTTTCCTTGGTCGTGTGTGACCATATTGGACATCTGCTCACTGTCCAATATGCCATAGTAGTAATAATGTATTAGATTTTACGAAAAAAGGTCACTTTCTTTTAACACTATTACTGTAAAGAAAACTGAGCATTTGCTTTATTCAAAATAAAAATATTTCGACGGCAAACCGGTAGAGGTCCCTTTTCATCAGCAGCAAAGAAATCTGCAACAAATCAAAGCAATGGTTGTATTTATACTCTAAAGGCGTAAACTGAACAAGGTAGCACCTTCTGTCAGTTTAAGATTTATAGAATTTAGTTTATAGAATTAAGTTTATAAAATTTTAAAAGCATTAGAAAGGACTGGGATTGGAATTAACTAAAAGAATTAACTAAACAATATGAATCTTCGTGAATGTGAAAAGCATCAAGAAAACCAAGTCCACGAATGGAAGCAGCATTTGATATTTCGCAACAAATCAATTAATTAAAAAGGTCAACTGTATTAATTTCAACTAATTATGTCTAAACAAAACTCTTTCTATGATAATTTGACTAGACGGTGTTGCACGTTTTAAAAGCTAAAAGCCTTTTTATTCAAAGCTCACAAGGGAATTGTTAGGATCTTAAAAGAGATGAAAGTGGAGCATCATTCGTACATTTTGCCAGAGGATAAAAATCTCAAGGTAGTAATTAATGGACTACTTCTCACGACTGAAATTGAGGAAATTAAGGAAAGTTTAACTGAATTAAATTATCAAATAATTGAAATAAAGCAAATGTCACGACGTAGAGGCGGTGAAGTTCAGAAACTTCCACTTTTCCTTGTTACCCTACCTAAAAATGAAAACTCTAAACAAATATATCATCATGAACGCTATTTATGCGACCTCAGAGTCAAAATTGTTGAATACAGAGGCCGACAGGGACCATTGCAATGTTTTCGATGCCAGGGTTTTGGCCACACTCAGGCGGGTTGTAACTATGAACCGAAATGTGTCAGGTGTAGTAAAAATCATTATGTAAAAGACTGTCCGGACAAAAATAAGAAAGATGTTCCTTTAGTTTGTGTAAATTGCGGTGGCAACCACACATCTAGTTTCAAAGGATGTGAAAAATTTCCAAAAAATAAAACTGAAAAGCCTAAAACTTTTTCTAATAGAATAGTTGAAGGTAAATCTTTCGCAGCTGCTCTTTCGACTGGTATCTACACAGATACTATTACTGAGGCCAAAAAAGTTTTCACTGATCTCGCTGAACTGGTTTCAGCAATAAAATCCGCTGGTTTTTTCCAGCTCACACAACAAGTTAAGGACTTGAACAAAATCATCATGAAAGCAATCAACCCAACAATACTGATAATGGGCCCGCACAGAATTAATAGAGCTCCTATCCAAATCATGATTTGGAATGCTCATAGCATCTTAAATAGAATCCAGGAATTTCATAATTTCTTACTAACCTATGATATTGATGTTGCTCTTGTCACCGAAACGTTTGCGACGCCTTGTATGAATATTAAGATCGCAAATTACAACTGTTACAGTTACAACTGTTACAGGTGTGACAGACTGAGTCACCGTGGTGGGGGGGCCGCTATTTACGTTAAGCACTCCTTGCAATCATGCCTGATTAGCGAAGATAGAGGTAACGGCTACGAAGCTGTTACAGCTTCTGTTTTTTTATTACCAAATTATGGCATAATTTATTTCATTGCATTGTATAACCCTCCACACATTCCTATTGATGAGCATAAACTCGAACTCGCTCAATTGCTGCCTAATTCAGAACATATCATCTTAGCTGGCGATCTCAACGCGAAGAATGTAGAGTGGGGTTGCAGACGCACCAACAGAAATGGAGAACTTTTACTAGAATTTATTAATAATTATCCTATTTATTTTTATGCGCCTACTGAATATTCCTATCTTCCTGATGACCCTCGAAAAGGAGACATCCTGGATGTTCTTCTTACCACCACTTCAATCCCGATTTATCTTGATGTGAAAGTTGAATTAACTTCAGATCATGTGCCGGTCTTAGCTACGCTTGGTACAAATAAAAACACTGACGAAAGATTTAAAATCACTACGGACTGGAATAAATATTATAATTTCCTCTTTGAAAACCCTCCGGCTATTAAGCAACTTAAAACAAAATTTGATATTGACTATGCAATTGATGTTCTCAATAATAGTATACTTAGTGCATATAACAGGGCTACTAAGAAAATTCCTGCTGATAAGTACAGTGCTAGATTGCCTAGTAACATTAGAAACCTGATTTCACAAAGAAACAAACAAACTGCGCAAAAGATGGCATATTGCCTGGGATCCTAGGATCAAAAAAGAGTTAAATAAACTGAACAGAGAAATAAAGAAAAGTATTTATAAACACAGAGAGATGAGTCTTGGAATGCAAAAATTGAAACATTCAATGAGCCAAATAATGCATTCTGGTCTTTTGCAAAGAATCTTCGAGGCAAAAAACCGAACAATAAACCAATTTACGGTGATAATATTATAGCTGTCACTAATAAAGACAAAGCCAATGTAATGGCTGACTTTTTAGAAAAACAATTTGTTCCTAACCAAGATCCAAGCGACCCTTTATTTTCATATGACACTAGATATTTTATTCAAGACTGGATTAATGGCCCGGGACCCAAAAACAAGACTAATTATACTTCACCTAATGAAGTTAAGGAAATTATCAAAAGAATGAAAAATAGAAAAGCTCCCGGTTTTGATAACATCACTAACGTCGCCATCAAAAACTTGCCTATTAATGTTATCACGAAATATGTCAGCATTTTAAATGCCTGTCTTGAAAATAATTATTTCCCAGATAAATGGAAAACTGCTAAAGTAATTTTATTACCCAAGCCTGGTAAAAATGCTACCTCCCCGGAGGGTTACAGACCAAATTAGCTTACTGCCCGGTCTGGGCAAAATCTACGAACGAGTTATCTATAAGAGAGAATCGAGCCTTACATGGATAAGATACCTCCTGAACAGTTTGGCTTCCGTAAGAAATTGTCTACGACCAAGCAGCTTGTCCGACTATGTGAATACATCGGTTCTGCACTTTTTCAAACATCAGAGTGTCGCCTTACTCATGCTAGACGTGGCGAAAGCTTTCGACCGCGTCTGGCAT